AAGGAGGAGAGAGGGAGGCGGGGTTGGGGGAGGAGGGACAGGAGGAGGGAGAGGGAAGAGGGACAGGAGGAGGGAGAGGAAGGAGGGGGAGGAGGGAGAGGGAGGAGGGAGAAGGAGGAGGGAGAGGAGGAGGGGAGGATGAGAGGAAAGAGGAGGGGGAGGAGGAGGAGGGGAAAGGAGGAGGGAGAGGGAGGGGGAGCGAGAGGGGGGAGGAGGAGGAGGGAAGGCAGCCAAGAAGAAAGGAGGGCGGTGGAAGGGTTGCCAGAAGGAGACCACCACGCGGTTCAGGCAGAAGAGAGTCTGTTAGGAGAACCAAACCAAACTGCACCTGATGCGGAGCAGCAGAGCGCTTAGCGCTCAGCAGCCCGACTGATGGGGAGAGAGATTATATATGCTACGCGTTGTCTCTCACGAAAAGGAGAGTGGGGGGAAAGGGGCTGCTCTCCTGGGCAGAGCTAACTGGAAGAAAGGGAGCTAGCTAAGGATAAAGAAGAGTAGAACGGAAAGGAGGAGGAGGGCGGAAAAGGAAGAGGGAAGGGAAGGTAGAGAGTGGGAAGAATTTGAGCATCCAGTCCTGAAGCTAAAGATAAGACACCCACATCCACCCAGGATGAGAACCAAGGCAAGCCAGGATGCGTGTAGAGGGCATAGAAAGTTATCTTATTGAGCCAATCAACCAAGTCTGGAGAATGTTGGAGAATCAAAGAAGTCCTGAAGTGTTGCTCTTCCCCTTCCTATGGAAGCAGGTAGAATATTATTTTCAAGGAGAAGGCAATGCAGAAATGTACCTTATATAATAAGTTCACTGCTTTCCTGGTCTTTGTAATTAAAACTCAAATTCACCCTAAAGATAGAGATATGATAGAATCATTCATGTAAGTGTGAGTTCATAATCTTGCAATGATTTAAGGTGAAGATTATGACAACGTACAGTATGCTATCTTCACCACGAAGAAGGACTAGGGTTGGACCACACCTGGCTTTCACTTAAAGTTTTTCATGTTAACTCATCCTTTCTCTCTTTAAAAATACACTAACACATAACACTTTCCATTGACATGATTTCCACTTAGAAAAATATTGGCAATAAATTCTAAGTGCACCTCCCCCTGCCTCACCCCCAGCCTAGTGGGGAAATCGCCACACCTTCTGTAAGTTGGTAAAAGCTGTGGCTGTTTTTCTTTCTCAATATACGCATGTGTACAAACTCACAACATACCTTATAAAATTTCTACTGGGATGGGACTCTTTAAAGTCATATCTTTCAGATTTAGAATTCTGGGGAATTCTAAAAACAAAACAAAAGGTTAAGATAAATGAGAACTGCATTTTTCCATCGTTGGCATAGTGATTTGGATCAGAATTTTTCTTCTTCGTGAATCTTTTCTTTAATAACTGGAGATATATGACAAAGGCTGTTCCTTTTCCCATCCTTGAAAAAAATGAAGGCAGATCAGGGAGGAAAGGCCAAGTAAAAAGAATCATGGAAGAATAGATACTTAGAACTTGCTTATCTTTCTGCTCAATGGAAGGGGCAATCGAAAAAGATGCTCATTATTATTCCTGCTTCAGCCCAAGCTCTGTCTAGAGCTGGACTCTTAGTAATCCCAGAGTTGCTTCTCATTAATCTTCAGATTAAAGGAAAAAAATTCATAGCCTGATCTTTATAGCTTCATTCTAAGCCATTGTCCATAATGCTGGTCATGTAAAATGAATGCAGAAGTATTTCATCCTCTTCCATGTTCTGGAAGAGACTGTGTAGGATTATTTCTTTAAATGTTTAGTCCTATTTATAGTGTAACTATGTGAGTTCTTATATTTTTATTTCAAGTATTAAAAACACTAGTTTTGAGTCAACAACATACATTTATAATATGTGGGGTTTTCATTATATTTCCATACATGTTCACAGTGTACTTTATGAATGAATTTACCTCCTCCACCATATTGGCATTCCTCTTTTCCTTCCTATCTTCTTTCTCAAAGAGCACTTGGTGGAGTTCACTATGCTGTGTTTGTGTGTGTGAGTGTGTGTGTATAATGTCCTTCAAGCCTCTTCATCCCTCCTATATTCTCTCTTTTCTCCCTCCCACTTCCCCTTCGAGAAGTCTCTCTTTTATATTCATCTCCCATTATATCCGCATCTTATAAATTATGAGATACTTAGTTTTTTGAGTTTGGCTTATCTCTCTCAACATGACAATCTCATTTCATTCACTTTTTTGGTAAATTTCAATTTTGTTTGTAGATGAATAATATTGATTATATAATGGCATGGGATATATCCATGTATAGCATATTTTATATACATTTATGAGTTTTGGGGCACTTCTGATTTCAGTTTGGCTTATGTAAACAGAGCTGCAATTGGGCAGTTGTTTCTTTGAGGATTTGTTGTTGGAGGATTTAATTTTTTGAGTTCCAAGTATATTTTAGATATGAGACCCTTGTCCATTGTGTGGCTAGTGAAGATCTTCTCCCAATCCGTGGGCTTTCTATTGATCTTGCTAGCTATGTCTTTTGCCATGCAGAAGCTCTGCAGCTTCATACAATCCCATTTGTCCAACCTTTCTTTGATTTATTGTGCTTCTGGGTCTCTATTAAGAAAATTTTGGTCTGTGCCAAGGAGACCTAGGGTTTCTCTTATTCCTTCTTGAATGTTTTTAGGGTGTCTGCTTTGACTCTGAGGTCTTTGATCCTTTTGGAGTTGATTCTGGTGCAGGGTGATATATAAGGATCTAATTTTAGTTTTCGACAGATGATTAACCAAGTTTGCCAGCATCATTTACTGAAGAGGCTGTCTTTCTTCCATTCTATTTTTTTATCTCCCTTATTGAAGATTAGGTGGCTATAGGTCTGTGGGTTCATTTCTAGATTTTCAGTTCTATTCCATTGGTCTTCAGTCTATTCTTGTGCCAGAACCAAGTTATTTTGATTACTATGTCTTTGTAGTATAGTTTGAAATTTGGTATTGATATTCGTCCAGCACTATTTTTTATGTTAAGGATCGTTTTTTTTTCTATTCAGGATCTTTTATTGTTCCACATGAATTTTTTGGATTGCCTCTTCTATTTCCTTGAAGAATGAGGTTGGAATATTGATAGGTATCACATTGAATTTGTAGATAGCCTTAGTAAGTACTGCCATTTTCATGATGTTGATCCTTCCAATCTAGGAGCAGGGGAGGTTTTTGCCACTTTCTAAGTTCTGCTTTGATTTCCTTTTTCAGGTTTTTAAAGTTATTGTAGAGGTCCTTCATTTTTTTAGTTAAGTTAACTCCTAGGTATTTTATTTTTTGTGAGGCTATTACAAAAAGAGTTGCTTTCCTGATTTCAGCCACATTCTTCTCATTGTTGGCATACAGAAAAGCCATTGGTTTTAAGAGTTAATTTTATACCCTGCTACTTTGCCAAAGTTTTGAATCAGCTCAAGTAATTTGGGAGTGGAGTCTGTTGGATTCTTTAAATACAACTTCATGTCATCTGCAAAGAGGGAGAGTTTTACTTCATCTCTCCCTATTTGGATCCTCTTTATGTTTGCATCTTGTCTTATTGCTGTAGCTATGCATTCTAATACTAAATTGAAGAGAAGTGAAGACAGTGGATATCCTTGTCTCATTCATGAGTTTAGAGGAAATGGTTTTAACTTTTCACCATTAAGTATTCTGGCTGTAGGTTTGTCATAAACACCCTTTATTATATTGAGGACTGTTCCATGGATTCCTAATTTTTCCAGAGCCTTCACCATAAAAAGGGTGTTGGATCTTGTCAAATGCTTTTTCTGCATCTACTGAGATAATCATGTGGTTCTTATCCTTGCTCTTGTTGATGTGATGAATTATATTAATTAATTTGCATATATTGACCCAGCTTTGCATCCCTGAAATGAATCCTGTTTGATTCTTCCAAATTCTCAAACTTATTATCATAAAGGTTTGAGAAGGATTCCCTTATACTGCTCTGAATCTTGGTTGTTTCTGTAGTGATGTTTCCATTCTTATCTCTAAGTTTGTTTATTTGGATGTGTTCTCTTCTTTTTCTGATAAGATTTGCTAAGGGTCTGTCAATTTTGTTATTTTTTTCAAAGAACCAACTCTTTGTTTTGCTAATTCTATGGTTTTTTGGATTCTGCTTCATTCAATTCTGATTTAAATTTTAATTATTTGTTTCCATCTACTGGATTGGGGTTTAGCTTGCTGCTCTTTTTCAAGGAGGTTCCAATGTCTCATTAAGTTGTTGGTTTCAGATCTCTCCAAGTTATTGATGTAGGAATGCAGAGCTATAAACTTGCCTCTGAGTACTGCTTTTGCTATGTCCAGAGGAGCTGGTAA